ATCAGAGGGTAATAATAAATAAAAAAACGGCAAGCCCAAGATAATGGGCTGGAATGTTATGTGGAGGGCGAAGGCCCATATGCCCAAAAGAGCCAGGCCCTTTATTATCACCAACCAGGTGATCAAAAGTATATCAAGTACTCCAAAATTATTCGACAGCCTGCCACTATTATCACCAACCAGGTGATCAAAAGTACGCCCAATACTCCAAAATTATTCGGCAACCTGCCGCTATTATCACCAACCAGGTGATCAAAAGTACGTCCAGTACTCCAAAATTATACATGAGCATTACTCATGTCAATCATACATAAACATTCATGAGCATCACTCATGTCAATCATACATAAACATTCATGATCATCATTCATGTCAACATTCATGAGCATCACTCGTGACAACATCCATGAGCATCACTCGTGTCAACATTCATGAGCATCACTCGTGACAACATCCATGAGCATCACTCGTGACAACATCCATGAGCATCACTCGTGACAACATCCATGAGCATTCCTCATGTCAATCAACATAAACATTCATGAGCATCACTCATGTCAATCAGCTTCAAAAGCTTCATTTATAGAGCTCTAGCTTCAAAAGCTTCATTTATAGAGCTCTAGATTCAAAAGCTTCATTTACAAAAGCTCCTGCTTCGAAAGCTTCATTTACAGAGCTCTAGATTCAAAAGCTTCACTTGCAAAGCTTCACCTACAAAGCTTCAGTGTAGGGTATACAAATACCACCTCCGAACAACCGCCATTTCGGCCCATACATGGATTCAATTTGAAGTCTTCAGCCAACAGACTCTATTGACCGAAGACTTGGGGGACTACATTATGTTCCATATATTGGGCCTTAACTAGGCCTCATGAAAAATACTTGGGGAACTTAGCCCATTATTTATGTATTGAGGAGCGAGCCCTTATTCTATAAAAGGGACTCCCCCACTTTCATTAGAGAGCACCCATTATTCATGTACTGAGGAGCGAGCCTTTATTTTATAAAAGGGACTCCCTCACCCTCATTAGAAAGTATCGCCGCCAGCTGAGCAACCGCCTCGCCGCGAGCATCACTCCTAACTCATTATTCATGTATTGAGGAGCAAGCTCTTATTCTATAAAAGGGACTCACTCACCTTCAACGCCATAAGCCGAGCCAACCAAGGCAACATAAGCCACAAGCCGAGCAGCCTCACAACATGTGTTACTTATAGTTGAACATCATTTCACTTTGAGCACCGCCTCATATCAAGTATTAGTTCAAGACGACATCTAGTTACTTTGGCCCACACATGGACTAAATTTCAAGTCTCCAGCCAAAAGACTCTCTTGATTGAAGACTTGGGGGACTACTGTTTGTACCATACTTAGGGCCTCCGTATTTATATCTCGTATAAATACTCGGGGGACTCAAGTGTAATTATGCAATAAATAGATGGGCAAATATATAATAAGTAAGGAACCCTTATTCTATAAAAGGAATCCTCACCCTCCTCATTGGAGAGACCAATTCTTAGGCCATACCCTCACCCTCTCAAAGCTCTCATCCTCACAGAGAAGCTTTCTCTATCCCTCACAATCCTCTCAGAGAAATACAATAATCAGTATGGACGTAAACATTGGGGTGAACCACGATACATCTTGTGTTATTTACATTTCTTGCAGTTTGAGATAAGGGCTCGCTTGTCAGTACATTATGTACCATATATTGGGCCTCAACTGGGCTCATGAAAAATACTTGGGGAACTTAGCCCATTATTTATGTATTGAAGAGCAAGCCCTTATTCTATAAAATGGACTCCCTCACTTTCATTAGAGAGCACCCATTATTCATGTACTGAGGAGCGATCCTTTATTTTATAAAAGGGACTCCCTCACCCTCATTAGAGAGCATCGCCGCCAGCTGAGTAACCGCCTCGCCGCGAGCATCACTCCTAACCCATTATTCATGTATTGAGGAGCGAGCCCTTATTCTATAAAAGGGACTCCCTCACCTTCAACGCCACAAGCTGAGCCAACTAAGGCAACATAAGCCACAAGCCGAGCAGCCTCGCAACATGTGCTACTTATAGTTGTGCATCATTTCACATTGAGCACTGCCTCATATCGAGTATCAGTTATAGACGACGTCTAGTTACTTCAGCCCACACATGGACTGAATTTCAAGTCTCCAGCCAAAAGACTCTCTTGACTAAAGACTTGGGAGACTACTGTTTGTACCATGCTTAGGGCCTCCGTATTTAGATCTCGTATAAATACTCGGGGACTTACATGTAATTATGTAATAAATGAATGGGCAAATATGTAATAAGTGAGGAGCCATTATTCTATAAAAGGGACTCCTCACCCTCTCAAAGCCTCTCATATTCAGAGCTTTCATCCTCACAGAGAAGCTCTCTCTCCCTCACAATACTCTCAGAGAAATACAATAATCAGTGTGGACGTAGCCCAAACATTAGGGGTGAACCACGATACATCTTGTATTATTTACTTTCTTGCAGATTCACGGTTAGATTTACGTTGTTCCAAGACTCCTCCGGTTTTGTGCATCAACAGAATTAGTCGTACATAAAAAAAATATGCAAAAACATAAATATACCAAAAATTCCGTACCTAAATATATGATACTAAACTAATGTACATAAATGTTTGTACCTAAATATATTATACTAAATTAGGGTACCGAAATGTCTGTACCTAAACTTTTTATACTAACCTAGTGTACCGAAATATTTGTACCTAAATATATTGTAATGGATTAGTAGCACAAAAAAAAATCCAAAAACATAAGTGTACCGAAAAATCTCTACGAAAATATTTTCTTATATAAGATACTTACTATAATGAGAATTAAAATTTATAATATTTTCATACAATTTAATTTATGAAGATCATAAAATTATAAATAAAAAAGCGAGATATTAAAAAATCTTGGGACTAAAATTAATTTTTAATCTTGTATAAGACATTTTTCTAAACTTCATCTTATTTAAGAATTAAAATCTAATTTTCTATTTATATTAAGTTGTAAAGAGAGAGATTTGAACAGAATTTTAAATACAAACACAAACAATCCTAATTATACGAGTTATCGACAACTTATAAATGAACACTGTTTTCAAAATGTATATTAAAAACAAAATGATCATCGCTGGTGCTCCCGCTCCTAGTCATCAGCAACGTCGACTCTACGTGTCAGAATCATCACTATCCGACACGTTGCATGAGAGGGCCACAAGGCAGTCGTGAAGCTCTATCAGCTCTCTATATAGAGAGCTTCCCATTGCTTCCTGTAAACATCGTCCAGTGTTTTCGCCGTGACAGTCTCGACAACTTCCTCCTCGTATATTTTCCAAATTCCTCTGCTCCCTCCATCTCTCCACTTCTACCATTGCATCCTGTTCAGTTCTCTCGCTTTTTGATTCATTTTCTGATTTCGTAGTTTTAAGCCACGTTGATCAGCAGCATCGATCATGAAGGAAAGCATGGCAAACCCTCTACATCTGAAATCTTTGAACCACATCTCCCTTATCTGCCGATCAGTTGAGGAATCAATAAATTTTTACCAGAATGTCCTCGGCTTTGTACCAATTAGGAGGCCTGGCTCCTTTGATTTTGATGGGGCATGGTACTTTTCCAAAATAATAAAAAATAGAAAATTAATTAATTCCCACTATGAATAAGAATGGTTTCTTGGGAATTTTCTTCCAAGACATTAATATTTTTATGAGGTTATGATGAAGGTGCTGCATATGTTGTGTTGTAGGCTATTTGGGTATGGAATTGGAATACATCTTTTGCAATCTGAGGATCCGGAGAACATGCCCAAGAAAACTGAGATTAATCCCAAGGATAATCATATTTCTTTTCAGGTAATTAATTTTGAATTAGATTCTATTGTCTCTCCTCTTTATGCTTTGAATTCTTCTCGGATTGAAATGTTCTTGCTGCTTAATTTTTTGTCGAGGTTCACTTTGTTGCCTAATTTGTTTGCTAATCTTTGGATGTGGAGGTTGAGATTTGCTGCTGCTTATCCTTTTCAAATGGTTCAAGAAGAATAAAAGTTTACTAATTTTTTTGGCTAATGAATTTTCAAATTTAAGCCTCATCGTATCTTAACGAGGACAAAAGTAGGAACGAAAAGTTGTAGACAGAGACAAAAAGGCTAAGCTAGTTATACCTAACAAGTAAAATCTGCATTATAACATTACTAAATTATATAAGTTAATCTTGCTCAATTGACAGTTTAACAACATAATAATTATAAAAAATTCTCAAGAAATTTAATTAAGTAACAAAGACACTACAAAGGTAAGAAATTATAAAGAGGTTGCCTAGGACTTTGGTAGAATGAGAGAAGAAAAGGCAAATTGAAATTGACTCCTTCCTTTCTTATCATACTGTATAAGTTGGTGGCTAAAGTTTGTAACTTTCTTGGGTCTTGGCGTTTAGTGTGAGAGCATGGGAGCCGTTGAGAAGAAGCTGAAGGAGATGGAACTGAAATACAAGCGATCCATGGTGGAAGAAGGTGGCATTCACGTTGATCAGTTGTTCTTCCATGACCCGGATGGCTTCATGATCGAAATATGTGACTGCGACAACCTCCCCGTGGTTCCTATCGCCGGCGGGATGGCTCGGGCATGTTCCCTTGTAAACCTGCCTAGGTTGCAGCAACCACAGCAGCCGCAGATAAGAGTTATTCAGCAGTAAGTAATTGTGTGGCAATAAGATTCATGAGCGGAAGGAAGATCTACTGCTACTACTATGTACTACAAGTTGTTTTGTGCTCTATGTATTACTATTATGTGGGTTTTTGTAACAAGACATTAATTAATTGAAAATGGTTATTTTAGTGGCTGTGTCAAGTGTGGGAATCTTCTGAGCTGGCCAGCACATTTGAGCAATGTTTCTTTGCTCTTTTCGTTTTCTTTGTGTGTTGAGAGTTAGGCCTAATCGGATAAATGGCAGTTATCGGGATGATAACGTAATCGGAAGATAAGTTATGTGGTTAAAAAATTAGGATTTAAGCCTGATACTCTGTTGGTAAATTTAGTTTAAAAATAATTTTCTGTTAAATGTCCGTTAAATACAAGATAAAAATGTAATATGACCCGTACCCCTGCCTCTTCCCTCTCTCTGTAATTTCACTTTCAAGCAGGTAGTTCATCATCTGAGCGTGGTTCTGCAATTTACAGTCGCCACTTGAGTTTTGTAGTCTTGCAAACCTCTCACGTCTGACTATTTGATTCTCAGATTTGGAAACTGGAGATGAGAGAGAAAATGACTAATTAAACCTGAATTCGAATCAAAATTAAGGTGAAAAAAGTGAGAATATTGAAATAAAAAATATGGTGGTGACGCTGAGACCTGAGAGAGAGAGAGAGACAGAGAGAGTATTGAACAGGCGGAGCCTTGGAGGGCCAGAGGCAGAGGCAGACCATTGGGTTTGGGTGGACGAGACCCGACCCGACAAAAAAGGAATTGGATCTGGCCTCTGGGTTGGGTTACAACAACGAACGATCACGGCACTGCGATTTGAGCTTGAGAGTTGGTGTTCGCGTCCACACCCAGAAACATGTCGTGGACGGCGTGGATCAACTCGCCGTCGCCGGACGCGAACCAGCAGCGTTTTGGAGTTTGAAATTGTGATTCTTGATGAACTAGGTAGCTGGGATTCGACTGAGGGTTTGATTCTGAGTTTTCTGCTGAAAAATGGGTAGATGGGTTTTGATTGGTGAGGACGGAGCTTGGCCACTCCGATGAAGGGATCCATGTGCTGGTCCAATTGAAGAAATCCATGTGCTTGCTGATATGCAAGATGCAAAATACAGCATCCCAAAATGGAAGAAAGTGAAATTACAGAGAAAGGGAAGATGAAGGTGTACGGGTCAAATTACATTTTTATCTTGTATTTAACGGACATTTAACGAAAAATTATTTTTGAACTAAATTTTCTGACAGAGTATCATCACGAAGGTTTAAATCTTAATTTTTCAACTACAAGCTTATCTTTCGATTACCTTATCATCATGAGAACCGTTTTTCCCATTAGGCCTGAGAGTTATAGATGGTGATCTGGATTGATTTGAGTGCATACTTTCAATTATTTTAAGGTGATTGCATCATCAGATCAAGCTATTGATGGTGATCTGGATTGATTTGAGTTCATACTTTCAATTATTTTAAGGTGATTGGATCATCAGATCAAGCTATGTATTTATATTTATTTATTAAATCAGTTTTTCTATTGCTCAACTTGGCCCTAGTGCGACACTTGTTGAGATCGATCAGACCGTAAAGAGTAAACTGTCGATTTGCCCCCTGAACTATCACCCAATTTTCGATTTGCCCCCTGAACTTTTTAATTGGAAAATTAAGGACTTAAACTAATTTTTTTGGCCGATTTCCCCCTACCGTTAGTTTTTCATAAATTTCATCCAAATTAACGTTAACTCTTATCATGTGCAAACCACGTAACTCTCATTTGTGGACAAAAGCGTCATTTCACTAGACCTTCAGACAAAAAAGCTATAGAATCACACATATTTGCATAGGTTTATATTTTAGAAATCTAAGGTTTTCAATTATTTTAAAGAATGAAGTGACCGAACTACCCACACATGTTGGCATATGCTTCCATTTAACAGAAATTTGGATGGAATGAATGAAAAATTAACAGCAGGGGGCAAATCGGCCAAAAAAATTAGTTTAAGTCCTTAATTTTCCAATTAAAAAGTTCAGGGGGCAAATCGAAAGTTGGGTGATAGTTCAGGGGGCAAATCGACAGTTTACTCGACCGTAAAAGGAGAAAGAAAGAAAAAACAACTCACTTCTTTATGTGAAATATTGAAATTTATTTATTTATTATTTTTGCCATCGAAACTTTTCTTTCAACTTCCAAGCAAAGACTTGAAATGTAAAAAAATTAAAAATAGTAGGTAAATTGAGTCTTAGATGTTAGGATCGATTAAGCCTAGCGGATGATCGTTGCTTTACAATAACTATGCCACAATCTTAATTTAGAAAGATAGACGAGACTTAGAGTGCATTTTTAGTTGGTTTGTTTATGCCAATTAGTATTACGGTCTAATTGTATTTTTTTATTTGTAAGTGAATAGTTTAATTCTCGTCAAAAGCGAATTTAAACTATATTATTGCAAACTCATTATGATGCTTAGTTCACTTTCCCCTCCCCACCTCTTACGTAGACGATATCATTTGTTAAAAATAAAAAAATTCTATGCGCATAAAGGTTTGAAGTGTCATTTCAATCCTATGGTGTTTGAAATCTACTTGCTGCAATTTAGGAGTGGGATGAGTGACCGGATAAGGCTTTGGAAATAAATTGTGAGAGAGAGAGATAGAGAGGGAGCCATGGACATTAACATCAAGCTAATAATACTTACAAATCAATTCCTACATTTGAGTATTCATAACCACAATCATTGGCGGAGGCACCTCGTGACTCGTGGGCCCATATTCTAACTTCATAATAAACATATATTGAGAGAGAGAGAGAGAGAGAGTGAGAGAGAGAGAGAGAGCCATGGGCATTAATACTTAACCGAATTAAGTCTTTCTTTCAATTGTAATTAACGACAGTCATAGAAGAGGAAGCAGAAAAAGACGTGTATTGAATGTGTTGTGGCATGCGAAGCGAGGTACTACTGCCTCGGAGGAGGAGGATTGAAGCTGAATTGTATTTTCTTTTTTATGAAATAAGATTTTTAGGACTTTATATTTTATTTTAATTATTAAATTTATGTTATATGGATGATTATTAATATTTACATTAATTATAATATGTATTTGGGATAATAAATTAGTTTTGTTAATTAATTTGGTAATGTTGAATTAAGTTTGAGTTTTTTATTTAGATTAAAATAAAATTTTAAATTAGATAAAAAGAAAACGGAAAAAATAAAAAATAAATAAAAATATGCATTTTGAGTGACCAAAATAATATTTGTCGCACAACTCGTTTACATTAATAAATTATAAAGTAAACGAAAAAAAAATGTAGACTTGCATGACGAATGATATATTACTCGCACAAAGTGTATTTGCGTGCTGAACACAATATTTGTCGCGCAAAATCATTCGTTCAAAAGTTAACTTTATAATCTGGATTCAGCTGCAGAGGCAGAACTGTAGTAAAACTGTAGATTCAGCCTCTACACTCCTCCCCTTCGTTTTTCTTCAATCCGGCATCCATCACTTCCATTTTCTCTCAATTTCATCATCTAATACTCCTTCTATCTTCTTCTCTAGGTTGATCGAGCTATCTCGGTATGTCTGGTAAGCTTTTAGCTTTTTTTTTTTTTTTTTTTTTTTCTGTTATGGTAAAAGTATTAATGTAAATTCATACTAACGCCATGAAATTCGTTGTCTATAGGGATATTGTGTGTGATTAGCGATTGGCGATTTAGAAGGTATTTTCTTCGTTTTATTTTTTAAAAATATAAATTAATTAAATTATGTTGAAATTATGTTGTTATGTTTATTTTGTGTTGTGAAATTATATTTATATTATGTTGTTAAATTTGTACGTGACGTACAAATATGTGTTGTGATGTACGGAGTTAATTGTAATTAACTTCGTACTTTTTATTTTTATTTTTTTTATATAGCAAAACTTAGTTTCCTGTTCGAGGATTAGTTGGATTTTGCACATGGATGTGAAAGCATGACTACAGTCCAATTGATTCTTGAATTGTCCCATTATTTGGACAGTTTAGGAATGCACAATTATGACATGTAGTTTATGGTTGAAGGATTAGATTTTGGTTGTGTGGATTTCGGTGTCATCTTTGTACGTTCTTCGGGTGGCTCCTAGGTATTTCATATATACGTTGTCCATTTGAAGAATTGTACCGAGATGCTGCCGAAATTCCTCCACGTCGAAATCTAATTTGATGTAGTCGTAAATTACGTCACATAACATTGCATTCCCAAATGGGATAGGGCCCTTACTGGAGGCATAAAGTGACAATATCATTTGTATGAAGTTGTTGTGATTGTTGTACTTTTATTGTGGTTGCAAGAATTATGGATAGAACGTGGATATAGAATCCGAATAGATGCGCGGACGAATACTTGGATGGAATCGAGGATTTTATTTAATTTGCACGTACACACAACCCAGGTGCAACTAGAATATGGTGTCCTTGTATGAGGTGTAACAACACGTTAAAGGACACAATTGAAAATGTTTGATTTCATCTAGTAAGGAATGGAATGGTAGAGACCTATAATACTTGGAACCATCATGGGGAACAATTAGACAATGCTACATCTTCAAAGCCACAAGAGTGGGCAATGTTGAACCTATTGTGGATCCTAATGAACAAGTCCTGAATATTATAAATGATGTTTTTCCATTAGCATCGACAAACATCAATCAGGAATGGGAAAATGACGTGTCTCCATCAATGGATAGTGCAGAGTTCGAACAATATGAAAAACTATTAAAAAAATGCCAATCAAGAGTTATACCCGGGGTGCGAGAGCTTTTTAGTTCTCATGGCCATTGTGGAACTAATGTACGGAAAAATAAAGTATTGTATGTCGAACCAATGTTTCGATTACTTTTTGGGGGTTTTCAAGAGAATAGTTCCAAAGGACAATTGTTTGTCGAAAGACCGTAGACATGCGCAAAAGGTGTTGAATGGTTTCGGATTGGGTTATGAAAAAATCCACGCTTGCAAAAACAATTGTATTTTATTCTACAAAGAGAATAAAGCATTTGATAAATGTCATGTATGCAAGAGTCGAGGTTCAAAATGACATCTGAGAATAAAACGACTAAGATCCCACAAAAAGTCATGCATTATCTACCTTTGAAACCTAGGTTGCAGCGATTGCATATGTCGATGCATATTACCACCGACATGAGATGACATAAGGAAAAACAGGTAAACGACAATGTGATGAGGTATCCTACAGATGGGGAGGCATGGAAAGAGTTCGATCAAACGTTCTCTGAGTTTATTGATGATCCCCGAAATGTTAGATTGGGACGTGCCACTAACGGATTCAATCCATTCAGGGTTCTAAACCTACACCATAACACTTGGCCGATTTTCGTATTCGCATATAATTTGCCGCCTTGGAAATGCATGAAAAAAGAATACATGATGATGACCCTTTTGATAACTTAGGGATGACGGTTCAACTTGTATAGTAGCTACGTGGTTGGTATATATGACACCTGGTGAGCCCAAAGGAAAGCATCAAGCAACAATGGTCTGGCTATATGGACTTGGGGATGACGGTTCAAGGTATTCTTGCTCTTTCCCTTTTTTTTTTGTATCCCTTTGCTCATTTTTGAGTGACATATCATGCACTGCTATGGTTCCGTATCTGGAAGACTTTCTCTTAAAGTCCTACTTTATCTAATTAGGGAAAGAAAACCTCTGCCAACTAATATTGTATCACATCAGAGACAACAATATAAATAGCATAAAGATTTGGTCTCAACTGTTTGCAGTAACATTCCTCAGTTAAATAGTTAGGGTCATAATTGAATTTGAGTATCAAGCGTGATTTTTCATAACACCACTAAACTTGTCTTCCTTCTTAACTTTATCATTGGACATATTTTTCTAATTTGGTGTTTATAGATAGAAAGAATGCTTTATGTATTTACTTTCTTAATGAGGAAGTAATTGCAACAGAGTATATATACACTTTGCTAAATAAGCTTAGTGACTAATGACACCTAGATTAGCACCTAATCACAATGATTAATTACAAACCAATTATAACATATTTACAACTATTAAAAACAGTAAATATCTAATGATGAGATGTCCCTTTATCCCCCTCCAAGCTAAACGGAGGATCTCCAAGAGAAAGCTTGAACTGTAACAACTTGAATCTGGCCTTAGAAAGTGCCTTGGTATGAATGTCTACAATTTGATGATGAGTACTGACATGATGAACTTGAATCAAATTTACTAAAACAAGTTCTCTAATGTAATGATAGTCAATCTCCACATGCTTTGTGCGAGCATGAAAGACTGGATTAGAAGCCA